TTCTCTTGTGTAAATACTGTAAAAGGGCCAGTATAAACTCCCAAGGATGCATCCCAAGCAAACCATAAGAACTGAGACTCTCATCTACTCTATTAGAAACTCTTTTAACAGGCCATCGTGATCTGAAGATGAGAATTTTCTCATTATGTCTACCTGAGTTATCATGATCCGAGTTACCAGGGAGTCTCGGACAGACTTTTATATCTTGTTATTCTTTATATTTTGATTTTTACACACACAGGCATAGTTGGTTAAACTAAGATTTTGTCTCGTCTTGTCTATTTAGGCTCTGACTTATACTCAAATCAGTGTTGAGGTGCCTTTCTATATTTACCTTACCTGATGCCACTGACAGCAGCAGAATCAGTACAGTCAGTTTGCAGTCATTTCTCCCATCAGCTTTTGGCATCGGATGTTTCAAATCTCATACCTGCTGTATGATGCGTCCGTGTCCTGCATGCAGGAAGTCTTTGACTTAGCAGGTATGTAGAAGCAAAAAAACACTTATTGGTTGTTGCTTCTACTTACCTGCAGAGGTGTTGGCCACCCACATCATGCTGCAGGTCATTGAGCAGAACATCTGATGTCCATTCAACGGACCTCACTGAATAAAACAGATGCAGTTGTGGGCGGTGTTAGAGGCTTCATTGTAAAATGTTCACAGTGCTTGATGTTTTTCTGCAGCATTTCAAATGTTGCATTTGTACACAGTGTCATAAACTACTGTACATACACACGTAACAAAACATATTGAGATGCAATAGGTATATAATACAAATATTATTCTAAGTGATGTATTTTGCATATATGCATGTCTTCTAGTGAGTAAGGAAACATATGGTTTTATTTGGAAGCAGATTTTAATTTGTTCGATTTAGAAGATTTTTAATCCCAAAAACAATTCTGACAATATCCACTTCTTTTTCTTTTTGTTTCGAGTGTGTGTGTGTGTGATTTATGAATGTCTTCATGTGTACTTGTGAGCATATTTTGTGCACATGGGCTGAACTGAAATGAAAAGCATTTAGAGGGTTTAAGCATGACCTTGTTTTGTTTTTCTTCCTTTACGGTTACTTTAAAGGACTTTGCAGTTTTTAGAACCATATTGATTTGAGTCAATACAGAGCAGTTGAAAACCTTTAACGCTGTACCCTCCAAAATATTACCCGTTACAAAACTGAGTGCAGACTTGATGTTCACAGTGAAAAAGTAAGTCAAAGAATTTAAGTAATTAAAGAGTAGTTTTCATATTTAGTATCTTGCTACTTGTTGAACTGGAAAGTGAATTTTCTTTTTTTACCAAGTGTCAAAAATATCAGTGCTGCAGAATGTCAGATACCGCTCTATTACCCCACACATTTCTTTCCCTTGCTGGTCAAATATCCTATCTATGCTACCAACAGTGCAACTCAGCCACTGACTGATTGGATATTCTAGCGGGCTATGCTAGTAGGTGCTAATGTAGCCTTGGGCATCTAGCCTCAAGCAAAGATGGATTACAGGGGTCTTGTAAGCCTGTCTCTTTTTAACAACACCTCCCCAGATTTTTTAAATTAAATGTTCATTTCCAGCTTTTTCCACATTATGAATAAGGACTCGCTCAGACGGGATCTAGACAATCGTTCATGTGTGAAATCAGTGGAGTTCATCTTACAGCAAGTTTGAGGAGTTAACCGTTTATCATGACGGCAGAGAATGGCAGAAAAAAAGCATATTAAAATATGGAAATGCACAAAAGGCATTTGTAAATGGTAAGCATACCTTGCAGGTTTGTTTTCACTGTGCCAAAGGACAATTGAAAGATACTACTTTTAAAATTCTCATCTTTAATATTAGTGATTCATCCTGCATGCTAAAGAATGTAAAACCCCCTCCACTTACCTGATTTGTGTGTGTGTGTGTGTCTGAAAACTTTTTGAATCTTCGGTTTCATCCTTCTGCTTTGTCTTCTATCTCCTCTTTCCTGTTTTGTTTTTATTTCTGGTTCATACACATGTTAGGTTCAGGGCTCAGCTGTCCACTGTAAGCGTTGCCAATGACAGTCTTTCCGAAAAATGGCCTTAACCTTCACCAGGGGACTGTACCGTCCGTTTGTGGCACCTCTGTTGCTCTCTCTCTGCAGGTGTCAGGAAACACTTCATAAATGCTTCTACTGGATGTTGAGTGTTTATATTTATAGTCATCAAATGTAGTAAATGCCAATATTTTACAGAATGTTCTAAGATGAGGTTGTATGCTCTTAGTATTATTTTATATCCATTCTTCCTTGATGACGTGGGGAAATACCTGAGCTAATGTCACACTATTTTATGGTCACATTGAATTTTAAAAAAGGAAAACAACACTGAATTAAAAAAAGATTTGGAAGAAAAAAAAAAAAACCTGTCTTCTTGTCGTCATTTGTATATAGCAATACAAAGCAGCTGGGACTTCCAGTGCTGTGTGAGAGGTTTCATATGATGCCACCAACCTGGTTATGGATTCACAGAGTTCAAACACCAAGTACAGGAAGGGCTGGGAAAGGTGCTGCTCTAATGTTAGTTAATGTCACAAACCCACTGATATACCACAGTTTAAAATCAAAGGAACATTGTTTCATTTATTTGGAGAATACCTATGAAAAGTGGTGAAAGATAAAGCATCAAATGTCAAAAAGGAATGGTTAAAAAAAATACATATTTTGACAGGATTGGGTAAAAACAAAAATTCTTATGATTTTGCAGTGTAGACTTATGTTTAGGAGAATTTGATGAAATGTACTGGTACTTGTTTTTTTCCCCTTCTGTTTAAGCTTTTTTGCCCTTATTTATTACCATATATTTGTATTAGGCTACTGAAGCTTTTATAGTTAAAAGGGGTTAAAGGTCATGCATTATTATATTTCAAGTTCCTCTTTGCATACTATTTAGTATTCGCTATCTACAGAAATTAGTGTAACATTATGGGTTAAGGGAAGTCTAAGTGGAACGGTATTTATTTCACACTGTTTAATTTTTAACTTGACCTTTTCATATTCATAAGTAAATAGATTTGTTAGACACATTTAATTGAGGAACATTTTAGTGAGGCATTGGGCTTTGTTTGTGTGTCTTGGTAAAAAATAAAACAGTTATTGATTGGGTGGTTTGCCAGATTCATGAATATTTTACCGGGCAGCAGTGAAGATAATTCTTTCTTCAGCAATGTGTTCCAAACACATGAATAAACATTTTTAATTTGTCTAAGTTATAAAAAAAACTGTGGGTAATAACTTTTTTTTTTTTACAGCTTTGATGACGCTAGCAATATCTGAATTGTATATTTGTTGTTGGAGATGTAATAACATTTTTGACCACCAGATGGCAATGAATGTTCAAGTTGTTTAAACAGGGTGGACTGAACCACAAGTGGAACATAATGATAATAAATTAACATTAGAGGCTTTTTAAACGACATAAAAAAACAAACTGTAATTAAATATGTAGAGGATGTCAGATGTTAAGAATCAATGCTCTTTTTTCTTCTGCTCAATCACACTGCTCTGGCTTTGACAGTCAGAGCAGTGTGATTAAGTTTTCTTCCTAGGGGTGATAATTACAAAATTATTGTTCCTAATGCTGGATCAGATGTATTGTGACAGTTTTCAACATTGGTGTGAAACATCCAGAAAAGACGATCGACGTAGCCTAAGATTAATTTCTACATTGTCAATGAAAGCCAAGAATTAATGTCAAAGAAAATGTCTGTTTCACAATGTTTGATATCTCACTTCACGTAACACTTGTACTTGTTTTTTATGTTTGAAAATGGAGAGAGAGAAAAAACCATTTCACAAACAACATGTGGTCAGATAAATCTCAGCTTTCATATCTGTCTCCCCCTGAGTGCTGAGGTTACGAGTCTGACCTTTTCATCCTGACACCGCTCTCCAAACCTGAAAGAAACTCAAGTCAAGAATATTGATGACGCCCAAAAGTTCTTTACAGGTCTGTCATCACAGAACACTGCTTCATCTTTTAGTGCATTCCAGATGTCATTTTTATGTAGAATAACAATAAAATGCAGCTTGGACCTCATAAATGTTCTCCCTGACAGACATAACTCGTGAAGTTTATTACAGGAGGGATGAGAGAACAGCTAAATGTGGTTATGTAAAGCTGCTGTACACAGCTCTCTTCATAAAGTTAAATTGTTGGGTACCTCTATGCTTTCTTAATCATATTTAACATGTGTGTCTCGTTGAAGAGATGTGCCAATGTTTTTCTGTCATCGAATGTAACCGCCCAGTTTACCTGGTGTGAAAGAAACCTCATTCTTTGCACACTTCATAACAGTCTTCTGAGATCTACAAAAGAGAAAACATATTATTTAAAAAAGTAAGCCTACATGTTCTAGACTTTTTAAAAGTTGTAATTTTTTTAAATCACGGGGGCATCAAAAAACACAAAATAAAAGCTGTAGCTCTGCTCTGACACACACCTCAGTTGCCTTCTGTAGTCACAACACATTTCTGTAGGCATCATGCTGCAAAAATAACAACACTTTTCTCACACAGAAATTGGTAGACTCCTTTTCAATGACAAAAAAACAACAACTGACTGCTTCAATGTTAAGGTTGTGCATATAAACATAGTTAAATGTTAAAATGAGACTATCCGATATTTAGAAATGAATACAAATAATTTCTGGCATTGTGTGAAATATATGTGTAAACATTTTCTCGGCTGTTCCTTTTCTAATGATTGATAATGATGACGATTGTATTTGTATTTTATTTGTAATTTGTCTTTCTTTTTACCTGCCTAGGGACAGCAGATGGAAACTAGCACTTCTGCTATACTCTGGCATTTTTACAGCTGTAATTGTTACAGCTGTTCATTAATATGCACTGTCCCTAACAAATAAATAAATAAATGAAATGAAAATAACATGGAAAATTGAATTAATATTCTATTAAAGATTATGGGGGGAAACGCGCCCCCTGTTGACAGTCCTCTGTAACTGCAGGCCGCCCACAGTTTCGCTCGACGCAGCAACACGAACGCCATCTTTAGCTGACAGGCAAAACTACTGACGCTGAGTTGGGAACCGAAACTAGGTCAGGCGTTTTGGAATACAAAACAAATCTCGTCAAAAAAAAAAAAAACTTGCTTTATAAGACTGCAAGTCGGTGTTTGCTGACTTTAAGCGACACACCGTGCTGTCCTATGGTCCAATGTGTTTGATCGGTCGACCAGCTCGGACGCAGTTTTCTTGTGTGGGTCCTGGTTGACGTGGATTGATTGATCGCCTTTTGTGGATAAACAGCCGACAGAAGGCAAAAAAGGTGAAAGACAGGTAAGAGGAGGACGAGGTCGAGAGCGACGAACAACTTGGTCTGTGAGTTACCTGGCGCTGTTACTCAGTTGTTAGCAGCGTGTGAGACCATGCTAACACGTCACCTGGTTTGCTTGACGTGGTTACGTTTTGGTGTCGACGGTAAACATGGAAAAGATTTAAGTGACAAAAATTTGCACATAGAGGTAGTTTACAATGGGCAAATGTTAACTTTTAGCTTGTGAAATTAGCAATGGAGTGGTCAGAAGGTGAGTCAAAGGGGAGGCGTGTCTTTCTCAAACAATGTTTTCATTCTGACTCAGTAAAACACACACACACATGCACGTACACGTACACACTTACACAGTACAGTAAAAGTACTTTACAGGTGAATGAACAGTGTTGTTTACAATTCTTATAACCCTGTTAAAAGGGATTACAGTAGTTACACATTTGCTGGTTAATATTCTTCAAGTAATTCTGTCCCCACTTTTAGCAGCACCTGAACACAAGACAATGTTGTCTTGTCCATATTAAACTGAACATTATCATATTAAAGACGGAATTGATGGCAGATCTCTGATGAACTGATGCATAGAGTGACTGAAAAAAAGTCTGATCGTTTTCACTGGTTAATGTTTGGAATAAAAAAAATAACTTAATATATCTTTAAGAGAGCATTACACATTTTAGGATCTGTTTATTATTTATATTTATATTTTGGGGGCTTTTGCAGTTATTCGATTGGACAGTGAGAGTGGGGAATGACATGTGGGAGTCGAATCTGGGCCGCCCGCTTGGAGGACTGTAGTCCCCATACCACTAGGCCATCTGTGCCCCCCTCCCCCCCCCCGTGATCTGTTTCATATTGTGAAGTTAGATTGTTTAATTATTTTAAACATTTAATAAGCTACGAAATTAGACGATTGATCCTGCTTATGAAAATAGTTACAGCTTTACAAACATGTAGCAGTACACAAATATGTATTTAACATGTGTCAGCATGCATCAACCCATCAGACATGCTCTGCAAACTTACTAACAGGACAAGTGGAATAACATTTAGTTTGCTAAGCATGCCAGGTCTGTTGACGAAAGAGCCGCACATAAATAATACTGCTAATGAAGAGTTCCCTCTCCCATTAAATGAACTCAGCCCAACCATCTGGATGTTGTTTACCCAGGATGAAACGTGCGCTGAAAGGCAATAAGCAGCAGGAGGACGGAGGTGGCACCAGCGCAGGGTCTCAGGAGACTCTTAAACGGTCCCGCAAGCAGAGGAGGGAGAAAGATTTTGAAGGAGAGGGAGCCCAGTGGGAGTGTCTGCCACAGGAGATCCTGCTTCACATCTTCCAGTACCTCCCTCTTCTGGATAGAGCTTACGCTTCTCAGGTAACCTTGAATCATTTTTGCATAATCCTCCTCAGTCAGTGTGTGGTTTATAAGTATTCACTTAAGATAACCATTTGGTAGGTTCTCCTAGTCTTGACATGGGACTGCAGTTAAACAGTAAAAGTCTTATAAGGCTCCATTAAATAAGGAGGCAGGCCTGAACTTCAAGTGAGTGTAAATAACAGACAACAAAGATTAACTAACACTCATACCTTGTGTTTTTCTATACCAGCAAGTCTTGTGTGCCAGCTTTAAGTGTACTCATCTCAGAGTAAATCTTTGGTTTTAGTTCTCACAAGTGAGTCATTTTCTGACTAGGTGTTCAAAAAGCATTTTTTTTGCAAACAATCCCTCTTCAGAAAAAAAAGAGACTTGTTGTATAAAATATATAGATTCAGAGGAAAATTCATTTTGTATGCCAGTTTTGGTTTGTCCTTAAAGTATTAAGTTTGCATCAATGACGTCATTTTGGTTGCATCTATAAACCGTTTTCAAAATTGAGATGTTAAAATAAAATTCAATCCAGAAAAACATGGTTTGTAGCTAAGAGAGTTTGTTTGAAATCCCTGCCCTCCACTCACAGGTGTGTCGAAGCTGGAACCAAGCTTTTCACATGCCAGAGCTGTGGCGATGTTTTGAGTTTGAGTTGAACCAGCCAGCCAGCTCTTACCTGAAGGCCACGCACCCAGACCTCATCAAACAGATCATCAAGAGGCACGCCAACCACCTGCAGTACGTCAGCTTCAAGGTATGTACTGAGCGTGTGGCTGGGGAGGTTACGTTACGTACGTGAATTCTTCTGTCCTGTTCAAACTGAAGGTGCTGCTGGGTGTTCATTTTTCCCTCTCTTTCTGCTTCTCAGGTGGACAGCAGCAGAGATTCTGCAGAGGCGGCGTGCGACATCCTCTCTCAGCTCGTCAATTGTTCTTTAAAAACTTTGGGGCTCATCTCAACAGCCAGGCCCAGCTTCATGGAGCTGCCAAAAGTAAGCCTCAGCAAGATTATTCTTCCTTCTGTCATCTTTATATTCAGGCAAAGCTTACTCACTGCATTATTTCAAATGGCACCTGGTCATTTGAAGAAGTTTTTAGGATTGTATTTGTAGGTAGTTTGTATGTAGTTAAAAATGCACAGGGATGGGGCGACGGTGGCTTAGTGGTTGGCGCGCGCTCCCCATGTACAGAGGCTGTGGTCCTTTCAGAGGAGCAGCCTGGGTTCAAGTCCCACCTGTGGCTTCTTTCCCCGCATGTCATTCCCCACTCTCTGTCTTCGAGATTTCTGACTCTATCCAATGTCCTATCTCCAAAATAAACCTTTACAAATAATGCACAGGGATGCACATACATTCTGTTACCAGCAGAGGGTGCTAATGCAAATGTTGAAGTAGAACCAGACAGCAAACTAGAAGTCTTTTTAATTTCTTGATGAGCTGGCGAGTGAGACACGAGTTTAACATGTGCGCTAACAAAACCAGAGGATTAAATGCGCCTCTCCTTTGCTCTGTCCAACAGTCTCACTTCATCTCAGCCCTGACGGTGGTTTTTGTCAACTCGAAATCCCTGTCCTCCCTGAAGATTGATGACACCCCTGTGGACGACCCCTCCCTCAAAGTCCTGGTGGCCAATAACAGTGACACCCTCAAGCTGCTGAAGATGAGTAGCTGCCCTCACGTTTCACCTGCAGGTACTGACAGTTATTAGAAATGTTAATAAGGTGTCGGAAGGGTTGGTTCATACCTGGAACAATTGTTCTTTCTTAAAAGAAGTGTGGCACTCACTTTACATGTGTTCCTTAATGTTACAATTAAAGTCTTAAAGCCACAGGGAGAAAAAGAAAAGTTTCTACCACTTTCTGATGTTTTTCTGTGCTTGGCTGTGTGGATCTGAAGTCTCCTTTAACTTCTCTCCCTCTCTTTCCAAGGCATCCTTTGTGTGGCTGATCAGTGTCATGGACTAAGAGAACTAGCTCTTAACTACCATTTGCTCAGTGACGAGCTTCTCATCGCCCTCTCCTCCGAGAAGCACGTCCACCTGGAGCACCTTCGCATCGACGTGATTAGCGAGAATCCAGGCCAACAGTTCCACAGCATCAAGAAGAGCAGCTGGGACGCCATGGTGCGACACTCTCCTAAATTCAGCCTGGTCATGTACTTCTTTCTGTACGAGGACGAGTTTGGCCCTTTCTTCCTTGATGAAATCCCTGTCACACATCTGTACTTTGGACGCTCCGTCAGCAAAGACGTGTTGGGCCGCGTCGGGCTCACCTGCCCGCGTCTGGTGGAGCTCGTGGTGTGCGCCAACGGGCTGCGGCCGCTGGATGAGGAGCTGATTCGCATCGCCCAACGCTGCACGCAGCTGTCTTCCATCGGATTGGGAGAGTGCGAGGTGTCCTGCAGCGCCTTCGTGGAGTTTGTGAAGATGTGCGGCGATAGACTGACACAGCTATCCATCATGGAGGAGGTGCTGGTTCCAGATCACCGCTATGGGCTGGATGACATCCACTGGGAGGTATCAAAGCATTTAGGTCGCGTCTGGTTCCCAGACATGATGCCTACCTGGTAAAGCTCAGGGAGAAGTTTGAAGTTGTGTCCAAAAGTTTGAGTGTGTGTATGTGTGCCACTTTGAGAACTAAATGTATTGCAGACGCGCCTCATCTTTTTTTTAGTTCTTTCCCAGCCACAGTCTTTACGCTAATCTCCCTTTCTGAATGCACAAAAAAATTACTTTTTTTATTTGAAGAAATGAAACATGTAGCAATGATTGCAACTACTTCACACCGTTTCATGTATATAATTTTATATTTATATGATATTTATATCTAAATGTATTTCTCTCTTGTCACAATTAGCACCTTTTACTCTTGTCTTTGTTTAGGTGCAACATCTTTTAGATTGGTTAGTGTTCGTGCAGAATTCAGAGTAGACATTTTTCCAGAGGAAAAAAACAGGCATGTCAGGGAATCCTTAAAAAATGAATTGACATTTATGTACACATAAGTAAACACAAGAGAATACATAAACATTTTGCCATATCATGAGGAGACATTTGTACAAGTCCTCTAAATCAGCCTTTCCTAAACTTAGAGTCAGGCCCGTTTTTACTGGGTTGCCCCAAAGTAAAATGCCTGAAAGTTGACAAACTAATTATCCTTATTAAAATAGAATTGGTGTTCATTTTTGCTACACATGCTGTGTGTGGGGGGGGGGGCTGTCTCTCCTCCTTCTTTCCTACTCACACTGCTGGTCAGTGACGATCTCACGGGCCCTCTGGCTTAACTGCGCGCTATGCAGAGAGTGAGTGAATGGTACAGTGTCTATGATGTCAAAGTAAAAATATAAGGAAAGAGTTTATAAACCAAAGCCTTTTAAAGTGCAGAGGGAGAGGCCTCAGTGTGTTTCATGAGGTGAGGTGCTCAGTACGGTCATTAAAGCTGAAGCTCAAAACGAAGCATCTGCAGCAGCGAGGAAAGTCAAAATGATTGTTCCTGTGAAAAGAAGAGGTTCAAGAAACAGTATTTTGATATAGGAAAGTAAGTAGCCCAAGTAACGTTAAGTCATTTTAATGGACGCACAAATGCATATTTGAACTCAGTTTGCCATTCATATCCGCATGATTTCATGTGAATGCGGCTGATTGATTGAAAGCATGTTAGTACCTTAACAATTAGAGAGAAGATAGCAAAAGAGAGGGGAGAGGGAGAGAGAGATGGGAAAGAGGGCGTTAGAAAGATGTTGTGTGTGTGAGTGTGACTATGTGGTAAAGACCAGTGAGAGTGGTAACTTTTTAAAGATAACATCCTCTCTCTCATCAACCAGACATTTAAATGGAACAGACTAGAGCATTAGTTCATATTTAAAGATGGTATGCCAGTACATGATGTATTTCTGTAAGTTTGGATCTTTTCACATTTCTCCATTGGGTTTAAGCTGAAAAAGCTTGGGAGCCCCTGCTCTGAATAAACATCAGCAATGTTAAACCTTAAGAGTTTGAAGACGGTATAAAAGTATAACTTTACTTAACAAGTCGAGTGCTGACTCAGTCGGACTATATCAGAAACATTTACAAATAGACTGGATAGTTCATCAGAAAACTTCATTGAGGGTTTCATGTCTAAGTTATGAGTTTTTGTCTCCTGTCATAGTTTTGATGTTGGCTGGATATTTGTCTCGGTTTGATATCTTTAGAGTATGTGTCCTAGTCACAGCATCTTATTCTGAAAAAACAGCAACAACAGCACTGCCTCTTCCTCTGTCCTGTCACTTTAACAGGATTAAAGCTAAAGGCTTTAATAGTGAAGGTGCTGCTCTTATAATCATCTTAGTCTGGTGTACTGTACATATGAATGAATGTATATTTACATAAAGGGTGTTGTTTTAACATGCTTTTGTGTTTCATGTACAGCAGCTATATTTCTGCATTGTCTGACCCATGTTTGGAATGTAATTCTTAATATCTATATTTCAATCACTTTCTATCTGTAGAGCATCAAATAACAAGAGTTATCTGGTGACACTTCACACACAGAGCAGGTCTAGACCATACTCTTTCTATATTCTTATTGACTGACGCCCTTATTTTCATGAAGGACCCACGTTTAACAAAATGAACTGCAAAGTCACATGAGGATGAAACACACTTTATAGCATAGTATTTGTAGATGTTGATCGTTTTCAGTTTATCTGTCAGTTTAATAAGTCACCTTGAATATGACGGTGGACTTTTTCATTTGTGACTTTAGACAAACTCAAGCTGCTTGTAAGCACAAACGTTCGACACGCTAAGCCAATAGTTTACCAGAGAAATATTTATTGTTGTTTAGCTTTTATAATGTACTTTGTGTAAATGTACCTTAGCTGCAAAATAAATCAATAAATATGAGGAGGAGGCCCCATGATGAGAAAATTCATTTAAAGTTCAAGTGTGGACAAAAATGAGTGATGTTTACTGATGCTTTTAAAAACATAAAAGAGAGGCTCATAGTTTCACTTACAGCGGCATCTTCTTTATCTTTAAAGAGCAGTTTTTGTGTGACTTTAACTGAAGTTTCCATGGCAACATGATTAAAGCCAGACACATTTAAATGTTACTACACGTCTGCATATTTTAAGTATTACTCTCTAAGCCTATCATACAGAAACAATTAACATGGCCTTAAATAAGGATCTTTATTTTTAACTGTAGTTCATGGTGGGCTTTCATTGTTTATCCTCGGTCATATTTATCTATTGTATTAAAAAAAAAAAAAAAGTAGGTGCACATCATCCAGAAACTGTGGTGTTAATGTAATTGACTAAAATAAAAAATGTAAATACATGCTGTTAATGAGATTATTGTGGAGCAGTAGACAGGAGAGTGTGGGGCAGCTGAATGTTGATGTAAATGTGTCGGTATCAAAGTTGATGTCTGACTGTCGTTTTAAAAGAAACGTAGTGGAATAATGTCCTACGGTGGACTTCTCAAGGATGTGTTGGCCTGTGCTGAAGATAACGTCCTTGGACTTGTGCAATGAAAGAGACTGGAAATCATTATTTGGTTAAAAATGTATGATGGTTTTACAGGCTTCGTATACACATCCCTTTCTTTCTTTTTACAAATGTTGATTTAAAAAAAAAAAAAAAAGAAGGCTTTGATTCACAACAATATTGCTTCTGTTGTCTCCCTCTAATTTGTACCCATCATCATGTCTTAATCGTATGTGTTGGACTTTATCCTTTAATTGTCAGAGCTTCTTTTTTTTGTATTTATAAAACCAAGCCCCCCTGCTGATTTATATTTATTGCATTTGTATTCAGTGCGTATAGATGGGTGTTGTACCATTCAAAGAAAGGCTTAGTAAGGCCTGCTGTTTTTATATAAAGAGTACAGTGGCATGGTGTTTTGATTTCAGCTCAACAAGGCCGCTCTGTACCGATCAGATTTATTGGACGGTAACCTGCTTGTACTTTTTCCAAAGATGTGTAATATTTGAGTAAAGTTCATAGCCACATTACGAAAGTCTGTGTTTCTCTCTATTCTCGACCTGTTTAAGAATGCTTTTGTTGCCTTGTGCACTCCTCTTATCATTTGTCTAACACTATGAGAACTATGTTTTGTCTATTTGTTTATGGTTAACAATAGACACATTTAGCTGGTGTAAATTGGTAAAAACGCAGGACAGATGTGAAATTAGCCAGTCAAAAGGTTTAGACTCTAAAGCTCTAAACTGTGTTGGAAATGGGCCATTAAGGAGAAAAAGGTATGGATGCAATAAAATGCAAGTAAATGTTATTTATACTGCACTTACCTCGAAGCAAAGTGCTTAGAAGAAAAGGTATATAAACGAGTGCAAAACTGAGGACATAAAAACAGACACAAGCAAGAGAGGACACATTCAAATAATAGCTCCATTAAGTGAAATCAGATAAAAGATATAACTTGAGCGCTGTCTTCTCTTCCACCCACAGCTCATTAATTTTTTAAGTCTTTAAGGATTTAAAAGGCCAATAAGTGATATTTCTTACATAGGAAATGTGCAGGAAGAGCTTCAGGTATTGACAAAGAGCTGATGAAGTCAGATAGGTGGTGCTACTTAAATCCATGTGCTTTATTATTTCAAACACAAAAGTTTTACAAAGGACATCAGCTGTCATCAGGTTTTACGGCTTTGTTTACACAGCGTTCACACACAAAAAAGAAATCGTATTTTTAATTATGATCACTTCATATTTGAATGTCAATTGAAAGTCAGCTGTAAAAGCTAAGATCATGTTAAGAACATGAATTGAATGAAGAAATACGTTTATTTGGTATCTTTGTTGGTGAAGTAAAGTGATTGAGGTGCTACGTTAAAAAGAGGCATCACTTTCATTGCACTAATAAAGTATTGTTTATTCATGAACCCTTTCACTCTTGATAAAGTAATGAAGCATCTATGTGACCTTAGCCTTTGAGGTCAGTACTTCTCTAGATTAGGCGTCCGAGGTCTTTGGCTGGGAAGAAACATTTCTTATTTGACAATCACAAACTGTCCTTTTTTGCTCCTGTTAGTTTGAAAAATGTTGCTATATCTTTTTCTAAACTGTCCTTAGAATACAGAGTTTGGTGAATTCAGTCAGTTTTACTGTGTGGGCCTACAGGGCTCTTGAATCAACAGCAATACCCTAGAGTGTGTGTGTGTGTGTGTGTGTGTGTGTGTGTGTGTGTGTGTGTGTGTGTGTGTGTGTGTGTGTGTGTGTGTGTGTGTGTGTGTGTGTGTGTGTGTGTGTGTGTGTGTGTGTGTGTGTGTGTGTGTGTGTGTGTGTGTGTGTGCGCGCGCACTCCTGATAGAGAGGCAAACGAGTGATTTGAGAACCAGTTTAACCCACACAAATGACGTTATGTAGCCAAGAAACTTAATTTGTGGCTGTTATTTTATAATTTTATAATAAAATCTCTTCAGAGATCCTATTCACCTGACATGATAATATGATATATTGCCTCACATACAATTTTTATAATTAACGTTTGGACCTTTCAGTCAAATTTAGCTGATGTACGTGAATTGTGCATAAACTGTGGTGCTGCCCATTAATCCATCACCCCTATGTTTAGCATTAAAATACATTCATGGGAGTATTATGAAGTTAATGTTTACATGAATTACATATACTGTATCTGACAAAAATGTATTTATTTTTTACCGGTATACATTTTATTTCAATCCCATATGTCCATATCATATATATCATATAGCCTACGTTTTATTACTTTATCTAAATTAAAGAGACACAATGCAGTTTTAAAAGCACATATAGGCTAAGATTAAGATTTACTTTATTGATCCCGCAAGGGGAAATTTCAGTTTTTTACACTCTATATTCATGCAACACACACATAGGCTTAAGTATATACACACACGCACACAAACAGGATCTTATGGACATGCACTAATGGAGAGATGTCAGAGTGACGGAGCTGCCCACAGCGGGCGCTCCTGAGCTGGTGGTGGGGAGAGGGTTTGGTGCCTCAAGGGCACCTTTGGCAGTGCTCAGGAGGTGATCTGGCACCTCTCCAGCTACCAGACCAGCTTCCATGCTTGGTCCGCACCGGGACTTGAGCTGGTGACCCTCTGGTTCCCAACCCATCCCAAGTCCCTACAGACTGAGCTACTGCCGCCCCTCTCGGCTATAGAAAAACATCATAAAGGTCCTGCTTTAGATCCATAAACAGACTGTGTGTCTTCTTAAATCAGGACAATCTATGCCACATATACTATCACATATAAGCTATTCTTTTTTTTTTAATTCAACTTTTTATTTTAATTTAACATTCAACAAACACAACAGACAGCATTGTTGTTGTACAATAGTATACACAAAGTCCCATAAAAAAGTGAGTACATAATTGGACCCAAAATAAAAATTCAGTAGCCACAGTATACACAGTACCACATCTTTATCATTACAATGATACACATGTATAAGCAAAAAAAAAGTGGCCCCATAACCTCTGGATGTTCTCACATATAGGCTATTCTAATGATTTGGTAATCTTTATAGGCTATAGCTTTCATAAAAGTGACTTTATGCTCTATATATTGGTAAGAGACGACCACATATATCACACATATTTTATGGGACGGTCCCAGTGAGGCTTTTAACAAAATCAGGACCATACCTGGACGACTCGATGAAGCAGACTGAGAGAGGGGCTGAAGACAAACACTTCCGTGGGACACAGTCTATGGGACACAGTCTATGGGACACACCCTGAGTGGGTGGTCAAAACCTCCTCTGCCACCTCAGCTACGTTTCAGCTCTGCAGGGAGGAGACGAGTCTGCTTCCCCCCCCACCCCCTGAAAGTCCGTCTGTTTGCCACATTTCTAAATCTGTGGTGGTACAAGGTGATGCTTGGGGTGGCAGGAATGACGGGCAGGTGAGTGTTTTCTTTAGTTTGAGAGTAACTTCAGTAGCAAACATCAACAACCTCAGGAGGGAACGAGCTAAAGCTAACTGCTAAGCTAGATAACAAGACATGTGTGTAGGATACCCACAAAATGTTATTATAATTACAAATCTGGCCCCAAGCGACAGTATTCACTTTACTTACAGCTAACAACAGCAACATGACGTTACCTTGCGTGTGTGTGTGTGTTTTTTTTCTACATTTGTTGTAAGTAACTGTACGGCTTGAGAGCTAGTTAGCATTGTAGCTTTAAGTCCAGTTAACTTGACAAATTCCCTTTTTAATTCTCAGTCTATATTTATCATTGTGGGGCGTTCAGGTACTGATTACAGCATCGTGTGAATAGTTTCCTAATATGACTGTAAAAAAAAAAAAGACATGCACTCACTTTTTGTATGTTAATTATAACTTCAGCTTGGCTATTATTAACATATTTTACTCAGTCAGCAATTACTTTTTACTTCACTGGTCTACTTGCATTAACACGCAGGCTTTGACATTAAAGAGTTTATTCAACGAGTTATATCTAAATAATAGAAAACAAAGTTGTGAGAATGTGTATATGAAGTACAAAGTGTGTGTGTGTGTGTGTGTGTGTGTGTGGAGGAAATGCAGTGCCCCTCTGTTAGGTTTCAGTACCTCTATTCCTTGACCAAATTAGGTGATGATGACTGTGCTGTGAGTTAGTATGTTAGTGAGTTCCTGTCAAACTGATTCACATATTGTTTCCATTCTCCATGGTAACAGCTGCTGAAACACGCAGAGCAGTTAATGTAGGAGCAATGTGACAAATGGTAAACACTGGTGCAGCCTCGCGCCCCAGTTGTTTGTCAGCCCAACATTTCTTGTGGGACTCTGTAACAAGTAACGCACTAACGTTTATATTCTTGTCTCGTGGAACAGCATTGCTAATGCCCTGGCCAATGCGGCCTGCGAGCGGTGTAAAAGTGGCTTTGCCGCCACTGAGAAGATTGTCAATAGTAATGGAGAGCTGTACCACGAACACTGCTTTGTGTGCGCCCAGTGTTTCCAGCAGTTTCCAGAGGGCCTCTTCTATGAGGTAATGTACTCAAATGTTCTTTACAACTTGTTTTCTTATCAACACAATAATGAGCAATACTTAGTGCGCTTCATGTTTCATACAGAGAATGTTTCTGATCTTCTCCTCTTTGCAGTTTGAAGGAAGGAAATATTGTGAACATGACTTCCAGATGCTTTTTGCTCCGTGCTGTCACCAGTGTGGTGAGTGTCACACGGCCTCTCAATGAAGGGGCTATCCAGGGCTTATATTTATGGGGTTATGTGGGCCAAGAGGGAGTTGTGACCACTTTATTATTGATACAATCATTTCAGAGTTCCTACAGCTGGAGCTTCATACAGGCTCTGCAGCCATTGTTTTTTTTTTTTTTTTTTATGACATCATTGGACTAACTTTAGTTTGGTTTATATATAATAAAACATAATACAGAATGTGTTCATTCTGTGACACATGATCAAAGTAAGTTTTACTGTGAATTAGAAGTTTAATTCACAGAGGGGGCGGGACATTGTTGATTGACAGACAGACAGTCACCATGGTTACTCACTCTCACCTGCCTGCTGCTTTGTAACATCGTTTAGCCTAATCCCTATAAATTCAGTTATCACAACAGGTGAGCTTCGGGTGGAGAGGCTTGATAGTAACTTTTAAAAACCAAGAGAGAGAGCAGAAAAGACAGACAGCAACATTTTAAACACCGGGGTTATATCTCTCATCACTGTCTGTCTGAGCTCCGCTCTGTCTGTCTCTCTGCAGACTGTTTACGTCTCTCCGGCTCTTTAACGGTTTCTTGTGTCGCTATCTGAGATGTAAATTTAACTATGCAAACTATGCAGATAAGTTAACTGTTGCTCACAGCGTGTCGGTTTGAGAAAATATCAGAACATTTGCATATAACCGAGATGGAGTTTCGTTTGGTTTCGAGGTAAAAGTTTCGTTTTCTCCACTGCGGAGCAAAAAAGGAGGGAGGGAGACACGTCTGTGTAACAGCATAAACTGCAGCATGATAGAATAAACACATTAGCCC